GCACCAGCCTGCCTGTCCCCACCCAGGGGTGCAGCACCGAGGAGGGCTGGGGCTGAGTGCTAATTAGCTGGTTGTGCGTTAATTAGCGGTAGCACTGTCCCTGGGCTGTCCCTGGGGTGGGGCAGGCTGGGGACAAGGTACACGATGGCCCCAAGTCCTACTGTCAGATATGACCAGGGTGGGGATGGGGACAGGGTTTGTGCTGGACGGGAGGATGACCCATGAGGGCAAGGACCAGCTGAGCCTCAGTCATGCTGCTCACCAGGGCATGGAGCTGCTGCCTCTTTTGGGGTGAAGCTTTGGGGTCTCTGGGGACCGTGGCATGGCAGAAGGGGTTTGTCTCTTGCCCATCTCCTGCACCAGGCCCAGGTCCGTGCCCTGCCTGGAGCTCCCTGCCAGCTTTGCCTGTTGGATCCCGTGCTAATCACTCAGCGGAAAATCTGCTTTTAATGAGGTTTTCCTGGCTTCGCCACTAATCCCTGCAAGGCTGCAAATGCCTGCAGGGGCTGTGGGGTGGCCATGCTGAGGTTGTGACTGGTACCAAGGCTGGTACCCAGCCCCTCCCTGGAGCTCCTGGGGTGATATGATGCCATGCCCGCAGGTGAATGGTGTGTGCATGGAGGGCAAGCAGCACAGTGATGTGGTGGCAGCCATCAAGGCAAGCGGTGATGAGACCAGGCTGCTGGTGGTGGACGTCCTCACGGATGAGTTCTTCAAGAAGTGCAAGGTGGTGCCCTCAGAGCAGCACCTGACAGGTGGGCTGGGGACTGTGCGGCAGGGATGGGGGTTTGTGCCACCTCTGCTGGCTCCATGTCACCTTGTCACCAAGCCTAGGGGTGCTGGGAGAGTCCTTGAGCCCTGGGAGGTGAAGGCCTTATCATCCTGGGGCCAAGCAGATTCACTTGGCTTTGGCGTCTCTGTGTCCAAGCCAAGGGCCTCATCCCAGGGTGGTGGGGCTGACGTGGGCAGGTTTATGGCCCTGGATTGCACTTTGGCAGGGTTTATGGCATCAACTGTCCTTTGCCCTGTGGCCCCCTCCCTGCTGTCACTGTGGTCCCCAGGAGGATGGGGAGGGAGTCTCACTGCGCATCACATCACGGCTGCCCTCATGGGCATGTGCCTGGCAGCATTCCCCTGTGCCATGGGGCTGGCTGTGGGTGTGGGCTGAAAAATTCAGGATCTGACCAGACCCTGGGCAGGGTTGGGTGAGCACTGGCCATGTGCAGCCTTTGCTTGCCCCACAGTGGTGAAGGAGACACAGCAAACGCATTCTCACCCAGTGCCCATGTCCTTGTACTACAGGTCCCTTGCCAGAACCAGTTGCCAATGGTGAAATAGGGAAGGTAAGAGCCTCATCTTGCTTCTAATCCCATCTATGCCCATCTCCAGGCAGGGACCCTTCTGTTCAGGTGTCCACTCTGCCCATGGGTGGATGATGCCACCAAAGACCACAATGCTCCCAGGCTGCCACACCAGGTGCCACTGGGAAGGGTACTGGGAACTGGTGCACCCCAGGAAGGAACTTGCTTGTGCTGGTGAGCATCGTGGAGGTGGCTGCAATGCCTGTTTGCCCCCCTCTTGCTGCCACCCAGTGCTCCAGGGCTAAAGCCAGAGCAGTCAGGCTGGAGTTTAATCCTTCCCTGCTCCGGATGGGCAGCGCTGGAGGTATTTATGAGCCTGGAGCTCACAGGGAATTATGTGTTGGAAGGACGGATTTTGCAGCCCCCTGGGTGGGACTCACAACTCCAGGGGCTGTTCTGAAGCCCCAGGGCTGGAGCTGCCCCACTCACACTGGCTCCCTGCTCCTCCAGGAAAACGGTGGAGCGCCACGGTCCAACTCTGTGTCTGAGAGCTCATCCAGCCCTGTGCCACTGGCTGTGTCCCCCAACTCCAGTGAGACCCACAGCGAGGTAGGGCTGGGGATGCTTGGGGGAGGTGGTGCTTTGGGCTGAGCCTCACCATGGGGCTGTCCCAGGGGGACACAGTAGGGCTGACACAGCCTCTCACCCCCAGCCCCCCACGCCGGAGGGTGACAAGCGCCATTCAGCATCCGACTCCCTCCTGGACCTCGACATCCCTCTGGCCGTGGCCAAGGAGCGAGCGCACCAGAAACGCACCAGCAAGAGGGCACCCCAGATGGACTGGAGCAAGAAAAATGAACTGTTCAGCAACCTGTGAAGGCCCCGGGGTGGGGTGAGGGTTTGCTACCCACCCCCAGCCTTGCACCCACCTCTCCCGCACTCCTCCCTGCCATGGGCTCCCGGCAGGAATGTGGGGCTGCTCCCACCGCCCTGACCTGAGCGAGGGGCTCGGTGGCCTCTGAGCATCCCTGCAGTG